TTTTTTTTTTTTTTTTTTGAGACAGAGTCTCTCGATTGTTACCCAGGCTAGAGTGAGTGCCATGGCGTCAGCCTAGCTCACAGCAACCTCAAATTCCTGGACTCAAGCAATCCTGTTGCCTCAGCCTCCCGAGTAGCTGGGACTACAGGCATGTGCCACCATGCCCGGCTAATTTTTTTCTATATATATTAGTAGGCCAATTAATTTCTATTTATATTAGAGACAGGGTCTTGCTCTTGCTCTGGCTGGTTTCGAACTCCTGACCTTGAGCAATCCGCCCGCCTCGGCATCCCAGAGTGCGTGAGCCACCGCACCTGGCCCAAAATACTATTTTTCTTATATTTTGAATTTTATTTGTTTTATATAATATTATGAAAATTTTGGACAGCTACAAGTCCCCTCCAGTTTACTCTAGCATACCATCTGTAAATAGTCGTTCTTTAAATGTTATTTCATGAGAAAGTTGAGCTTTGAATTATGCAAATATTTTAAAAGGTCTGTAGATTACAATTCTTATCAGGCCTTTCTATAGACGATTTACTTACAGACTGGTTCATAATTTTAGTGTTATAAATTTAGTGTTATTATATATTTAGTATCATTAAAGTTTGAAAATACTACCTCATTTTAGTTGAGAAACTGTTGGTGATGATTCCCAAAATGTTCAAGACCCCAACCATTTTAGATTTTCATATGTTAAATTTATTACCTTAAATTGTATTTAGCAGCAGACTACTGTCAATGGACATTATAGGTTAATAATGCAGTCCTATCCTTTGGAAACTAAAACAAGAGTGACTGATCATGTGTTTCTTTTAAGAAAAGATCATCTTCTGTTTGGAAAAAGGCACATGTCCTTTTGGCTAAAACTTAAGTCTCTGAGTAACAGCAAAACAGTGTTTGCCAGAATCTGCTTTGAAGTTGTTTACCTTCTAATATCAAAGTGCTATAGTGCTCTTTTTAGCTTGTGAAGGTAGAGGATATGAGACAATTTAATTGGCTAACCATTGATAGAATGGTGTGATTTTGGGCAGGGTGCGGTGGCTCATGCCTCTAATCCTAGCACTCTGGGAGGCCAAGGCAGGAGGATTGCTTAAAATCAGGAGTTCAACACCAGCCTGAGCAAGAGCAAGACCCTGTCTCACTAAAAATAGAAAGAAATTAATTAGCCAACTAAAAATACATAGAAACACATAGAAACAATTAGCCGGGCATGGTGGCACATGCCTGTAGTCCCAGCTACTTGGGAGGCTGAGGCAGAAGGATTGCTTGAGCCCGAGAGTTTGAGGTTGCTGTGAGATACACTGATGCCATGGGCACTCTAGCTTGGGCAACAGAGTGAGACTCTGTCTCAAAACAAAAGAATGGTGGTATTAAGATCTTAGTCTTTAGAATCCTGAACTGGACCTTTTCATGAAGGCAAGAACTGTAATCCCCAATTATATGTTCTCACTGACATTGAACTTGGAACATGGTACCTTCCTTTCTATTTTCTTATCTACTATAAACATGATTAATAAAAGCAGAATCAAATATTCAAATGATTTTTGTGGGGGCAGAATTAATCTTATATCAATTATTACATAAAGTAAAGCAAATATCTCATTTTCTTAAAGGTAATAATAAAATAACATTAATTTCCAGGTGTTCTTCTCTACGGGCCTCCAGGCTGTGGTAAAACATTGATTGCCAAGGCTACAGCCAAAGAAGCAGGCTGTCGATTTATTAACCTTCAGCCTTCAACACTGACTGATAAGTGGTATGGAGAATCTCAAAAATTGGCTGCTGCTGTTTTCTCTCTTGCCATAAAACTACAGCCTTCCATCATCTTTATAGATGAAATAGGTATGCTATGTTTTATATGTGAGTATTTTTAACGGCCATTTTTAAAGGTGGTATTTATCATTTATTAAGCTACATTAATAAAACAAAAACACAACCAGCTACATTAATAAAACAAAAACACAATCTTGATATGCTTTGTATAATTTCTTCGTTGTAGAATAAACCATAGTCTATATAATCTATGTATTCCCCAACTTGATAGATAGGTTTCCCTGTCTTTTTGCTGTTAAAAGCAGTGTGCAGTGGACAGTTATGTACATGTTTTCTCATGTATGTATGTTTGCCCAGGATAAATACCTAGAAGTTGAACCATTGGGTTTTATGATATGTCCATCTTCAGCTTCACTAGGATTACCTGTTCTTCAAAGTGGTTATACCTATTTTTACTCCCATAAGTATATAGTTTCAATTTCTCCCATCCAATTTCTCTACATGCTCTATGAGATTTACTTTTTCAGACATTATCACTAATTTTTTCCAATTTAAAAAGTGCGAATTATCTCATTGTTTTAATTTATGTTTCCCTGCTTACTAGTAAATTTGGGTATCTTTTAACATGTTGATTAGTCATTTGGGTTTTCTTGCTTGTAAATTGCCAGTTTTTCTTTGGAGTTATTTGCATTTCTCTTGGTAATTCTTTGTTGATGTTTATTATGATTGCAAATATTTTCTAGACTGCTTATCTTTATTTATGATAGTTTTTTTTTACAGTGATTTAAATTTGAATTTAGTTACCTTTATCAGTAGTTTTCCTTTATGATTTTTTAACTTTTTATATCTGGTTTAAAAATACCTTAACTATTCCCGTAAGTATTCTCTTTTTAAAAAATTATATTTCTATATAGTATGATGTAGGAATCTAATTTCATTCTTTATTGGTGGACTCTGTTTTATGGATCAATACTTTAGTTCTGTTTCTGATACATTAAATATATAAATATATATAGCTTTACTGTATTATTGTAGCTTTATATATATGTAGCTTTAATTATATAACTTTAAATTATGTATAATTATATGCAGTATGATAGGCTATATAAAAATAAGGAGAAAGGAAGGTATAGATACAAAATACAGATTTGTTTGGGTTACTTGTTTTCCTTATGTATCTTTTCTCATCAATTTACTACTTGCAATTATTTGGGGGTTTTGATATGCATCTTGAACAAGTGATCATACAGCTAGGTTTTTTTGTTTGGTTTTTTTTTTAGTTAAGACTCTAACTGGGAAGTGTGGTTAGTTTAGTAGCTAGCCTTTATTATGATAGCAGAAATATTCAGATTTAGTTCTACTATATTATTTTGCACTTTTTTTTTACTCTAATTCTATCTAGGTTGGTATGAGAGGTATTAGAGTTTACCATTTATGATTAATATTCCATGGTATGTGCTTTTTTAAAATATACTAGTCTAGTGGACCTTTTTTGCTTATTATTCCTTTTTGCCTGTTACAGGTTTAAAAGTTTTATGTTCTTTTTCTTTTAGTGAAGTATTTAATATACATACTTGTCTGAAAAGTCAAAGGTTTAATTATCATCACTGCCCTCATCCCAAATAATACAGGGATCTTAGAACTCTTAGATACTGATAATTCCTGTCATCTGTTATATATTGTTGTTGTCCATCATTTTATTTTTCTTATTTTATACCTTCCATATTAGTTGTTATTTTATACTGGTATTTATTGCTTGTTTATACAACCACCTTTGCCAAGTTTTTTGCTCACCATTGCTTCATATATCCTGTCTTTTCTGGATTTAATTTTCTTCTTACTAAAGTCTTTCGAAGTTCTTTGAGCAAAGGTTATAAGGAGTGAATTCTTTCTGTCTTTGTGTGAAAACGTATTAATTCTACCTTCTCTCTTAAATGATGAATCACTGTCCCTTGGCATTTTGAAGGTATAATTCTGGTCTTTCAATCTTTCTTACTGCTTTTGAGAATTCCACTTATTGCCTAATATTTCTAAGTACTCTACCTTTTATCTCTAGTTGCTATTAGATTTTTATGTTGTTCTATTTGGCCACAGTTTTTCTAGGTCTGCATTTATTTTTATTTATTCTACTTTGCCTTGCTGTGGTTTTTAACCTGAGGATACCTGACTTTCATTAATTCTGAAAAATTTCTCAGCCACTACATCATATCTTTGAATGTTGTGATGCTCCCATTTAAAAAAAAAAAATCCTGTATTTCTCTAATTTTGAGTCATTTCCACAGTGCTGTCTTCTAGTTCTATACCATATTTCATCAGTTCTAAGTCATACTGTTCTGTTTGTTTTTTGTATTTTAACATCTCTGAAATTGGGATAGTAGGTTATAATTTAATTGGCAGAATGTTTCTTTTTAAAATATCTTTGTTTAATTGGCAGTATTTTAAATTTCTTTACGGTACGTAAAATAATGGTATAACTCAAATCACTCAATTTTTGAGTAGGTTATAAAAAGTAATTCTTGTTTTGGCTGTGTTTAATCTCTCAACCATTTGGTTTGTAGTCTCTTGATAATATTTGAACTTTCGAAGTTCTATTTGGTTCTTTTAAAAACATCTTTTTTTTTTTTTTACTGTAGCTTGCTCTTTCGTTAGAATGTCAATCCCTTTTATATCTTTAAAATTTTAAGCGTACTATTTTTATATAGTTTTTAAATTGCTCAGCTGTCTGACATTCTAATTTTCCTTTATGGTGTTGACTCTTTTTCATAGTGGTTTGTTTCCTTGTGTCACTTATAACATTAGATGGTTTTAGGCTTGTTTTTATATGAGAATCCTTTGTTGCTTAAGAGGATTCAGAGTATTTCTCCTATTTTCTCCTTAGAGCTTCAGGGGTCTGATTACTCAGGACCGACTTTTATGATAATTTCTTCGTTTGGGTGTTCCTAGACTGAATCGTAGTGCAAATTTAGACTTTATTGCTGAGAAAGGCCTCCCACCCCCTGAGGTCCTAGATTTGTATTTGTCAAGGGGTACATATTTACCCTCCAGAGCACAGGCAAAAAGACAAGCTTCTTTGTAATACCCTATAGTGATGAGCGTATTTTTTTTTTATTGTTATCTACACTTTCTGTGAGCATTCACCATTTCAAGCATTTTGGTTTCAACCTGTGCATGTCTATTAAAAACCAAGCAGAAACTTTTGATATACACAAACACAGACAGTGGCACAATCACCTCAAGTTCTGTCAGCTCTTATTTTCAGTTCCATTTTTTTCCTGAACTCTGGAATTTTTTTTTCTTTTCTTTCTTGCAATCAGATCTTTATTAACCTTTTCAAAAAAAGTTAATAGAGCCAGGCACAGTGACACATGCCTATAATCCCAGCTACTTAGGAGCTAAGGCTAGAGGATGGCTTGAGCCCAAGATATCAAGACTATTCTGAGCAATGTAGCAAGATCCTGTCTCTAAAAAAAAATTAATAAACTTTATTTTTTAGAACAGTTTTAAGTTTATAGAAAAATTGAGCAGAAAGTATAGAGTTTTCATATCTACCCCACAGTTTCTCATATTATTGATACTTTGCATTAGTGTGATATATTTGTTACAGTTGATGAACCAGTATTGATATAGTATTAGCTAAAGTCCATAGTTTATATTAAAGTTCATTCTTTGTGCTATACAGTTCTATTGGCTTTGACAAATGCATAATTTCATTACAAAATCATACAAAATAGTTTGACCATCCTAAAAATCCCCTGTGTTTCACATACTCTTCCCTTCCTTTCACTAAACTGGCATCCACTGATCTTTTTACTATCTATCGTTTTGCTTATTTCAGAATGCCATAGTTGGGGTCTTACAATATGTAGTCTTTTCAGGGTGGCTTCTTTCACTTAGCAATATGTATTTAGATTTCCTCCAAGTCTTCTCATGGCTTGATAGCTTATTCCTTTTTATTGTTAAATAATATTCCACTACAGTTTGTCTATCCGTTTATCTATTTAAAGATATCCTGTTTTGGACAGTTTTCAGTAAAGCTGCTAACAGCATTCATGGGTAGCTTTTTGTGTGGATGTTAAGTTTTCGACACAATTGGGTAAATACCTAGGAGCACAATTGCTGGATCATATGGTAAAAGCATGTTTAGTTTTGTAAGAAACTACTGAAGTGTCTTCCAAACTGGCTGTGTACCATTTTTGCTTTCCCACCAGCAATAAATGAGAATCCCTGTTACTCTGCATCCCCTCTCTAGCATTTGGTGTTACCAGTTTTTTGGATTTTAGCAATTCTGATAGGTATGTAATAGTACCTCATTGTTTTTTGAATTTGCATTTCCCTAATGACATAGGATGTTGAGCATCTTTTTATATGCTTATTTGCCATCTGTATATCTTCTTTGGAGAGATGCCTGTTCAGATCTTTTTCCCTTTAAAATATTTTGTTATTGTATTTATATTTTTATTTTTTTGATACATAATTGTACATATTTGTGGGGTACATGTGATATTTTGATATATGCATAGAATGTGTAATGATCAAGTCAATGTAATTGGGATATCTATCCATCCCCTGAAACATTTATCATTTCTTTCTGTTGGGAACAATTAGATTGTTTATCATATTGAACTTTAAGGGTTATTTGTATGTTTTAGATACAAGTCCTTTAACAGATATTTTTTCCCAGCCTGTGACTTTTTTTTTCCTTATCTTAACAGTGTCTTTCACAGAGCAAGATTTTTAATTTTAATGAAGTCCAACTTATCCATGTTTTCTTTGATGGATCATGCTTTTGGTGTTGTATGTAAAAGCTCATCACCAAACCCAAGGTCACCTAGATTTTCTTCTACGTTATCTTCTAGAAGTTTTATGGTTTTTTTGTTTTACATTTAGATCTCTGAATCATTTTGAGTTAATTTATGTGAAAGTTATAGAGTCTCTGTCTAGATCCATTTTTTACATATGGATATGCAGTTGTTCTATTAGTAGTACCATTTGTCAGATACACATTAAGTTTTAAATGAAATATTGTATTTAACTTTTTTGTTAAGGTTTGCATACACAGGTTGAACATTCCTAATCTGAAAATCTGAGATGCAAAATGTTCCATAATCTGAAACTTTTTGAGCACTGACGTAATACCACATGTGGAAAATTTTCACACTTGACCTCATGTGATGGGTTGCAGTCAAAACTTTGTTTCATGCACAAAGTTATTTAAAAACGCTGTATAAAATTACCTTCAGGTTATATGTATAAAGTGTACATGAAACATAAATGAATTTTATGTTTAGACTTGGGTTCTACTCCCAAGAAATCTCATACAAATATTCCAAAATTAAAAAAAAAGAAACCACAAATCTGAAACACTTATGGTCCCAAGCATCTCAAATAAGCAGTACTCAATCTGTATCTTTTTCTATCCTTTTATCATGCGAGCCCTTATATTTAATGTATGTTTCTTGTAAGCAGCATAGTGTTGGGGTTTTCTTGTTTTTAAACCTGGGCTAATATCTTGATCATGTACTTAGAGACTCTAGTATATTTACATTTAATGTAATTATACTTATCCAGCATTTTTTCACAGTATTTTAAGCAATCATCTTGCCAAAACCAGTTCTTGGTAGTAAAGATAATTTAGGAAGGTTAAGTAGATAAGTGAATTTACAAAATTTAACTTAAAAAATGGAGCCATTTAAAAATGACTGGATTGTCTACATCTAGAATAGATGGGTTAGTTTGATTCCTGGTCCAACGAATGAGGCAGGTTGTATGAAATTGAAACTATTTACAAAAATGTAAGATATATGTTTGGCATTGTAGGACTCTGTCATGTCATGGTAATGTGTGTTGGGGTTTTTTCCCTTAGAATTACATTTTTTAAAAATGCTTTTTGGGCTGGGCATGGTCACTCACACCTGTAATCCTAGCACTCTGGGAGGCCGAGGCAGGAGGATCGCTCAAGGTCAGGAGGAGTTTGATACCAGCCTGAGCAAGAGCAAGACACCATCTCTACTAAAAAAAGAAAAAAATTAATTAGCCAACTAAAAATATATTAAAAAAAAAATTAGCCAAGCATGGTGGCGCATGCCTGTAGTCACAGCTACTTGGGAGGCTGAGGCAGAAGGATTGCTTGAGCCCAGGAGTTTGAGGTTGCTGTGAGCTAGGCTGATGCCACAGCACTCTAGCCTGGGCAACAGAGTGAGACTCTGTCTCAGGAGGAAAAAAAAAAAAAAAAAAAAGGTGATTTTTAAAGCTTGAATCTAGCACATTCCAAAGCATTTCTGTGTCACTTGCATGTATAATGGACAAACTTTGAGTTGTAGTTTCAGTGCTGAAATGTGATAGTAAATCAAAAATGCAAATGATTTATAGGGATATAAGACAAAACATTTGACATGAGGATTGTACTAGAAAGCCCTCGATTTATTTTTACTGTCTTTTTTTTTCATTCTTAAAGATTTACCACCTCTTAATCTTTTCATGTTCTAGAAAAAACATGTTTTCCCCTTTTCAAAAAGCATTTCATGTTCATTGTAGGTAATTTGGAAGACAGAAAATAAAAGAGAAAGTTAAAATTGTCCTTAAATCCATCCCTAAGATATAACCAAAGTTATTAGCATTTTGTTCTATTTCTTTAAAGGGTATTTCCGTGTATTGTGTGTGTGTGTGGGGGGGGTCTGTGTATGTGTATGCTAGCATGTGTGTTTTAAACTGTTTTCTGTCCTACATGTTCCCACTTAATAGTGTTTTAGGCATTTCGCCATGTCATTTTTGTTTATTACTAGGAAAGTGTGTAAGGAAAAGGGCATGACCCCATAATTAAGAACGCATAGGGTTCAAATAACCTGGAAAGTGTGTGGGGGGGCACAAAGCACATAGGCTTTCCTCTAAGACTCTACTTGACCTTTTTCTAGTCTCCCAGTACCAGATCCTTTAGTTCTCTTAAATATGTTGGCATGAATGTATTTTTAGGAAAGAAATGAAGGTTATGAATTGTGTTTTAATTTGCCTAATAATATACCAAGTTTATTATATCAGACTCATGTCTGAAAAGGCATAGTTAGCCCCATTTCTTTGTAATCTTTCATAAAGTTGTCACAATTTAATTAAATGTTTTGAAATTATGTAAAGAGTAAATAATTCATTATTAATTTCTAAAGTTAAGGACCTTTTCCTTCTAGACTCCTTTCTACGAAACCGTTCAAGTTCTGACCATGAAGCTACAGCCATGATGAAAGCTCAGTTTATGAGTCTCTGGGATGGATTGGATACTGATCACCGCTGCCAGGTATTTGAATGAAATCTGCCCTCAACTTTTACTGGTTTTTGTTCTTAATAGGAAATCTGGCAGGCTACTTATTATGCTTTTGTACAGAAGTCTTTTTTGTAATTATTTACACTTGCTAAGTGATGAGGATCCAAAAGTATATGATTTGTATAAATTTCATCCATTTGTGAGGGCTTCATGTTTAATAAAACATTAATAGATTGCCTAAATTCTTGAAACAGAGGCAATGGAAGAGAAAAAACCAGGACAAAGCCTCTCCTTGGACTTTTAGAACCTCTGTGCCAAGGAAGAAGTGACTAGTGACCATAGATATTGTGTACATATTTAAGTATTCTTTCTCTTTTTCTTGACTCTTACTTGTGACTCTTACCATAATTCTTTATAGTCTTTATTCTTAGTCCTTATTTCACTTACCTTATTTTCATTTTATCAAGTCTATCAGTTACCAAAACTTACACTTTCTTACCTCTTATCACGTATTCCTTTCTTTGGGATCCCAGTTTTATACCACGCCTAAGTTTCCTTGTTATGCAGCCAAAGAGAAAGCCAGCATTATTCTTCGGTTTCCCTCTTTGAGTTCTAAGTTTCACTTACTTTTTAACATCTGAATATTCCATACTTTCTTGTAAGCTCAGTGATGTATTTGATATTGAGTTAAATTGATATTATTAATTTTGAATAATAGTTTTAGACATATTCTACTTTTATATGAATCAGTTAGCTTTTCTCTAGAATTGTCTTTTCTGTGATTATAGATATAGCCCAGTACCCTAGCTAGATTTCTTGTAAGTATGATATGGTCACAATGAAAATAAAAATAGAGAATGACCCAATGAAACCCATTACCATTACTAGAAGCCTTGGTAACTGATGACATTCTTCATCTTGAGACATGAAAGGTAGGATTTTTAGGGTATTCACTGATGAAGTTAAGCTTTTGAAGCATAAAGTTAGATCTGGTTACTTTTAATGTAAAATAAAACAAAAAATTATCTCCATATTTTGTTTTTTAAAGACTTAAAAATTTTAACAATTCCTTAGCATTGATGACTTTGCTACTTACCATTGCTTCTCATTTTGAATTTTAGCTCATTTGTACTAAATATAATTAATATATATGTAAAAGTTCTTTGTTTTTGTCTCTTAAAACCACTCTTTAAAATTTGCTGCTGCTTTTTTTTTTTTTTTTAAGAGACAGGGTGCTGTTCTGTCACCTGGGCTGGAGTGAAGTGGCCTGATCACAGCTCACTGCAGCTTCAAACTCTTGGGCTCAAGTGATCCTCCCACATCAGCATTCCAAGTAGCTGAGACTATAGCCATGTGCCACTATGCCCAGCTAATTTTTGTTATTTTTTGTAGAGGTGGTGTCTTACTATGTTGCCCAGGTTGGTCTCAAACTCCTGGCCTCAAGAGATCCTCCCAGCCTGGCCTCCCAAAGTGCTGGGATTACAAGTATATACTACCATACCCAGCCAAAATTTGCTTCCTTGTGTGAAACTATGAGTGTTTTCAGTTACTCTTGCATTTTTGTTGGGAATATCTATTGTTTTATACATATTGATTAGACTCTATTGTACTAGCTTTATTTACATTACTTGATTCTATTTTCTAGCATTCCATCTTCCATGCTGGGTTTTTTAATTCTGTTTTGTTTTATTTTAGGCTATTTGTTTACCTATATTTTTTATCCAAATGCAGCCCATTTTTCATTTTTTGTTCAAATATTGCCGTAACCACAGTGTCTTTTGTGATCTTTTTTTTTTGAGACAGAGTCTCGCTCTGTTGCCCAGGCTAGAGTGAGTGCCGTGGCGTCAGCCTAGCTCACAGCAACCTCAAACTCCTGGGCTCAAGCAATCCTCCTTCCTCAGCCTCCTAAGTAGCTGGGACTACAGGCATGCGCCACCATGCCCGGCTAATGTTTTCTATATATATTAGTTGGCCAATTAATTTCTTTCTATTTATAGTAGAGACGGGGTCTCGCTCAGGCTGGTTTTGAACTCCTGACCTTGAGCAATCCGCCTGCCTTGGCCTGCCAGAGTACTCCTTTTGTGATCTTTACAACTGAATGTAGTTAGTCTTCTATAAGCTTCCATATCACTTTGAATCTCTACCAAAATATCCTTACTTATAATCATTTATTATCTTATGAAGTTAATTTATTTGATCACTTTTAAGGTTTGGGTAGAATTTTTTCTTTTTATTAATTTTATCAAGTTGTAGAAATCCTACAAAGAAAAATAGGTACAAGGATTAATATTTTGATTTTAGGACCACTTAACCCAAATACAAAACTGCATTATGTTGTGGCCCTAACATTTTTCAGATTTATGTTTATGTTATATTTTCTTCCTCTAGGTGGCAAACTTTCACAGGTAATTGAAAGTAATTTGGCTCTCAGGCTCCTGAATATCATTAAATATAAGGAGTAGGAGTAGTATATAAGATTTGGTGGATATTTTTTGATGCTCTGAAGTTAAATTTTAGATTATTTCAAAAATGTAAAACCTATTAGGCAGAAAAAAGATAATGTTAGAGAAATATTTTTCCATAGAATACAATCAGTTTTCATTAAAGTTGATTTTTTAATCTCTACATCCTTTATAAATAAGTGACATAGACCTAGAAATTGGCAGGGCCAACAGCATCTTTTTTTAAATTCTATCCAGCATTTTGATGTTTGCTTTTTACTGTGTTGCCTTTGTTTAAAGTTGGATTGCTTGAGGTTTTATTTAGTACTGAAAAGATATCATCTGGCATATGCTGATGGTGTCATGAGATGATATGAAATCTAGAGAAAAAGTATATGATATCTGTTAAAATTACCAGAATTTTCAGACTTAAGGGGAAATTATTCTCTTCATAATAATATTATTTTTTTGTTTGTTTTTTAGAGAAGGAATCTTGCTCTGTCTCCCAGGCTGGAGTACAGTGGTGAGACCATAGCCATCACTGCAAGCTTCCAACTCCAGTGTTCAAACCCTGGCCTCTGCCTCCTGAGTAGCTGGGACTACAGGCACACACCACCACACCCAGCTAATTTTGTTTTCAATTTTTTTTAGAGATGGGCTCTTGCTGTGTTGCCCAGGCTGGTCTCTAACTCCTGGCCTCAAACTATCTTTTTGCCTTAGCCTCCTAAGTTGCCTAGGGTTACAGGCATGAGCCACTGCACCTGGCTTCCATATTATTATTGTTAAAGCACTTGAAGTATCCCCCCATACTCTTAAACTATATACTCAAGCTATAATATAACAGCTTTCAGTCATTCAACATGTATTCATTAAGTAGCCATATTTTATAAAATATTATTCTTTTAAAACAAATCTTTATAATTCTTCAGTAAAGGTACTTGCAAGTGAATAGTACATATTTTAGTTATTAGAAAGAAGTCCAGTGAAAAGCATTAGTCTTTCCAGTTTTGCTATTAAACACTACTTAATTTTATTTTTTTATCTTTATCTTCTACACCCTAATAATGACAACCTTAAGGGAGTATTATTTGTAGATTTTAATACTTTCTGTTTTCTTTATATATTTAGGTCATAGTAATGGGAGCTACTAATCGTCCTCAGGACCTTGACTCGGCTATAATGAGAAGAATGCCTACAAGATTTCATATCAACCAGCCCGTATGTGGTTTTGATTGATAATATGAAGAGTTAAATATTCACCTTTTTATAGGTCTTTATCTGTGATTTTAAGAAGAGCATATTTTGTTTTATAGGATTTATGACAGGCAGAGAAAGAATGAGGCATAGGAAATCCCATAGTTGCTTCTTTGTCCTTTCTACCCTCCTTGCTTTTTTTTTTTTTTTTTTAGTTCTATCCTAAGATTAGTGGTATTTGCCTCTCTTCAAATATATAATTACCTCAAGTTTACTTAGCCACTTCAGTGATTTATTTTAGGATGTAGCAAGTTATCTATAGAGGAAGATACATAAGGAAATCAAAATTATAGTTTTGGTTTAGTGTAGAATAAAACTGAAGGAAATGAGTTAAAGACTTTTCCTGTTTTGAAGGCGTGGCATGAAGAGTAACTGGGATTTGCTTGACTAATTATTGGCAATGTAATCAGTGCTTCTCTCTAATAGGATTTATGATTCCAGTAGCTAAGATATTACACTTTAGCTTAAGAATACAAATGTGTAGGTGGTGTTGAACCAGTTCTACCTTCTTTCTAGCATTCTTTTTTGTCATTTAAGAAGTACCCTCAAGTAGATGATTATAACTTACTGATACCCTATAATTTTTGTGCAGAGTCCTCAAATCTTGTATTTTGTCTGCCTTTGGATTGAAGAAGAAAGAAAAAAACAGGTTTTAATAGTAGAAGATATGGTCCATGCAATCAGCTTGTTACATGTGTTAACCATTGAGAGGAACTTATTATAATTCCATTTATTATCTTTAGCTAAAAATCATTTATCCCATTTATATTCTATAACTTAACAGATCAGTTTGTGGCAGCATACATGGTCTCCTAAAGATTGATGATCATGGCTTCTGTAACATTGTGATCATCTATTGCTGTAGCTGCAACCTCTGGTTCCTCTGAGGATGCACATACTTAATTAACTATAATTACTCTATTAGAAAATATACATGATAAATCAATGAACAGATTTTTTTTAACTTAATGTAGGAAACTATAAAATTTATTTAGTATGACTGATATTTATTGAGCATTCATATGTGTCAGACACCTGCTAGGCTCTGGTGTTGTAGGGGAGACAGACCCATAAATAAATAAACAATGTAAAATGTGCTTTACAAAGGTATGTATAAAGAAGTGTGAGAGCCTGAGATGATGATGAACATGAATAATTCTGTCTGGGGAATCAGTGGATTCACAGAATCCCCCTGGCCCTTGAAGGATGATAGGAAATTGATAGGCAAATGAAATAGGGTGGGGGGCTTTCCTGCCAGTATTAATGAAGACAAATATATCATTAACACTAAATAAAAATTCACTAATGTAAATTAGTAAACATGGAATTTATATGTTGAAATGGAGGAACTGAGGAGGCATTGTCATCTTTTCTAATTATTGGTAAAAAAAAAAAATTACAGCAGTGGTAGTTTTTTGTAAGTTTCAAAAAAAAATGAAGATTGTAGAGATAGAGGAAAGACATTATAATCATAGGTTCTCATTTACTCAGTAAATCTTTTTTTTTTTTTTTTTCATTTACTCAGTAAATATTAAGGGCATGTAATTTCCCAGACATTGTGCTAGGCACTAGAAAAACAGGATAAGCAGATACAGTTCAGGAGGATATCCACAGATCATTTACTCTGGAGTCTCAAATCTAGACTTTGCTTTGACCTTATCAGAATTTCTGTCATTGCCTATAGTAGTCACATAGTTTATGAGGGAAGAAATATTAAGAAAACTATTTGAGCTTTATTTTTTTTAAAGATGCTAACTGGAAATTATCTTGGTTTTAGGCTTTAAAACAAAGAGAAGCAATCTTGAAACTCATCTTGAAAAATGAAAATGTAAGTAGAAAATTACAATTTTTCCCCATCCTATATATATGATGTTTATGTTCATAAAGTCATTTTAGAGAGAAATGAAGAAAGAATCTGGAAATGTATCTTTGAAATGTACCTAAATTAATATAAAACTTGTGGTTGCTTATGTAACTCAGTAACTATGATGTATTTGAACTAATTAAAGATAATTTCCTTAATTTTTTAAGAGCCACGTGTTTTTGTATCTATGCAGTAAAATACTCTTTGATATTTTTCAGACTATTTTCTGGTTATATAAGATACATTTATTTATCTTTGTACAAAAGTTTTGTTTCTTAATTGTAGTATTTTGAAGTTGGTATTTAGATTTAAGAAGGGATGATAATGAAAAACTTCAATAGCTTTGTGTTTAAGGTCTTTTTAAACAGTAATATAGTGACATGGTTCAAAAATTAAAATAATTTTTATTGTAATTATAACATAATTAAAAATTTATAACATAAATTAATATATTAAATGGCATACAGAGAAAATTCTTCTTTCCTCTCCTGTATTTCTCCTGTATCCTTTCAGATTGGCATCATATCTATACAAACAAATCATAATATATTGTTATTTTTACATAAACCATATTAATAAATCATGCACATTGTCCTGATTTTGCTTGTTCACTTATTTTTTATTTTATTTATTTATTTATTTTTTTGAGACACAGTCTCGCTTTGTTGTCCAGGCTAGAGTGAGTGCCGTGGCGTCAGCCTAGCTCACAGCAACCTCAAACTCCTGGGCTCAAGCAATCCTTCTGCCTCAGCCTCCCGAGTAGCTGGGCCTACAGGCATGCACCACCATGCCTGGCTAATTTTTTTTTTAATATATTAGTTGGCCAATTAATTTCTTTGTATTTATAGTAGAGACTGGGTCTCGCTCCTGCTCAGGCTGGTTTCGAACTCCTGATCTCGAGCAATCCACCCGCCTCGGCCTCCCAGAGTGCTAGGATTACAGGCGTGAGCCACCGCGCCCGGCGCTTGTTCACTTATGTTGGAGATCTTTCTTTCTTTTTTTTTTTTTGAGACAGAGTCTCACTCTTGCCCTGGCTAGAGTGCCATGGTGTCACTTCACAGCAACCTCCAACTCCTGGGCTCAAGTGATCTTCTCCCTCAGCCTCCTGAGTAGCTGGGACTACAGGCATGTGCCACCATGCCTGGCTAATTTTTTCTATATATTTTTAGGTGGCCAATTAATATCTTTCTATTTTTAGTAGAGACGAGGTCTCGCTCTTGCTCAGGCTGTTTTCGAATTCCTGACCTTGAGTGATGCTCCCGCCTTGGCCTCCCAGAGTGCTAGTATATAGTTTCCTTATTCTGTTTTTATTTTTTGTTTATGGGTTGTTTTTTTTGTTTGTTTTGTTTTGGTTTTGGCATTGCATAGGATTCCATTATATGGATTTATTTAATCAATGCCATTTTCAGGGCATTCAGATTGATTCTGGTCTTTCACTATTATAAAAATGCTATATTGAATAACCTTGTCATTTCACACTTGTACAGGAATATTATTAAAGTGAATTTTCCAGAAGAGGAATTGCTAGATCAAATAATAGAGTATTTGTAATTTCAGTAGCTAGTGCCAAATTATCCATGCTAATTTTACTCATATACCAGCAATATTAGAGTCCTTCTTTCCCTATGCTCATGCCAATGGAATATTATGAAACTTTGTGCTAAGATGATAGGTAGAAAATGGTTATCTTATTGAAGTTTTAATTTGCATACTTTAGGGGTGAAATGAGTGTTACATGTTTACAAGCCATTTGAAATTTTTTATCTGAATTCTGTGTTCGTATTCTTTGCCCAGTTTTTTATTGCAGTGAATTATTGCTTATAGATTTGTAGGAACTCCATATGTAATTATTATGAAGATTTGCCTTTTGTGTGGTTTGAAACTATTTTTTCCCAGGCTGTGTTTTGATTTTATTGGGGCTTTCTTGCCACTTTTATGGCTTCTGAGTTTTGAATGTAAATTAAAAAGACTTTTTCTGCTCTCAAGTTTATAAAAGAATTTTCTGTATTTTCCAAGCTCTTGCTACTTATTTTTCCAAAACTCTATAACTGAGTATATTTAAGTAACATCGTATTCCTCGCTATCCCAAACTTGATATCTGAACTCTAGTTGAACATGCTGCTAAATTAAGAAACCAAATAGATTCCCATACTGAGAGATATTTGTGTTTTTATGGTTTCCTTCCTTCCTTGAACCACCATCAATCCTATGGCCCCATCCATTCTCCATCCACACTTTTCCATGTTTTCCATCATATCTCATTTGTAAATATTTTAGTTATATCTCTAAAAGAAAAGGATTCTCGCCAGGCTTGGTGGCTCATGCCTGTAATCCTAGCACTTTGGGAGGCCGAGGCGGGCGGATTGCTCATGGTCAGGAGTTTGAAACCAGCCTGAGCGAGACCCCGTCTCTACCAAAAATAGAAATAAATTAATTGACCAACTAAAAATATATATACAAAAAATTAGCCGCGCATGCCTGTAGTCCCAGCTACTCGGGAGGCTGAGGCAGTAGGATCACTGAGCCCCGGAGATTGAGGTTGATGTGAGCCAGGCTGACGCCACAGCACTCACTCTAGCCTGGGCAACAAAGTGAGACTCTATCTCAAAAAAAAAAAAAAAAAAAAAAGAAAAGGATTCTCTTCTTTTTTTCTAACCTAACCTCATTACTATATAAAACCTAAGAAAAAATTGACAGTAATTCCTTATTTTCATTATCTGGTCTGTGAACAAATTTCTGATTATCTCTTAAATGTCTTTTTTTTTAACTATGTTTGATTCTGGATTCATATAAAATTGATAATTTGCAATTATTTGATAGTTTTAAAATCTTCTTTAATCTATAGACTATTCTTCCTTCACTTCTCTTCCTTTTTTTTCCCTTTTCAAATTATTTATTTTTAAGAAACTAGGTTGGATTTGTCCAGATTTTTCTATAGTCTGAATTTTGCTGATTACACAAGGAGTAGTTCTCTAAAATTGATAGTTGGATCAAGAGACTAGATGAGATTCAAATTAAGGTTGGTGGAAAAGGGAGACAGGACAGGACAACTTTTTAAGTAGAATTATGTTTTTTCTTCAGGAGATAGAAGTGACTGGGTGACTTTTAAGTTTTATGCTTAAATCTTTGATATATTTGAAATTTATCCATATAGATGATGTGTGATATGAATTCAACTTTGCTTTTTTTTCTTAGATGGATACCCAGTTGTCTCAATACCATTTATTGAATAAGCCATCTTTTCCTTACTACAAATGCCACTTTTATGAAATTCTCATATGTGTTGGCTGTGTTTCTGAACTTTGAATTCAGATCATTGATATTTTGTGTCTTTATGCATTAGCACCAAACTGTTTTAATATTGAGGCTTCGTAAATTTTAATATCTTAAGGGCTAGACATCCCTTGTTGTCTCCCAGCCCCAAGGTTATTTTTACTCTTTTTTCTACATGAATTTTAGAATCAATTTGTCTTATATAAGAACAAACAAACCTTAATATTTTTGATGGAGCATCATTCAAGAGAATTAAGATCTTTTTGATGTTGAATCTTCTTTTGTATCTTTCAATAGTTCTAATGATTTATTTCTTTAAAATATATCAAAAAAAACAAGCCAGGCGTGGTGGCTCACACCTATAATCCTAGCACTCTGGGAGGCCGAGGCGGGAGGATCGTTTGAGCTCAGGAGTTTTGAGACCAGCCTGAGCAAGAATGAGACCCCATCTCTACTAAAAAAAAATATAGAAAGAAATTGGCTGGACAACTAAAAATATATAGATATATAAACAACAGAGTAAGTAAGACTCTGTCTCAAAAAAAAAAAAAATATATATATATACACACACACATACACTATATGCAAAAGTTTAAAGAATCTAGCAAATTATAAAGATTAGACCAGTGGTTATTAACTATTTTGGGGGAGGGAGTATCATAGAGCTCTTTAAGAATGAGATAAAAGCTTTGTAGTCTTTCTTAAGAAAACTGTATATGTAGGCCAGCCAGGGTGGCTCACACCTGTAATCCTAGCACTCTGGGAGGCCGAGGCAGGTGGATTGCTCAAGGTCAGGAGTTCGAAACCAGCCTGAGCAAGAGTGAGACCCCGTCTCTACTATAAATAGAAATAAATTAATTGGCTAACTAATATATATAGAAGAATATTAGCTGGGCATGGCGGCGCATGCCTGTAGTCCCAGCTACTCGGGAGGCTGAGGCAGGAGGATTGCTTGAGCCCAGGAATTTGAGGTTGCTGTGAGCTAGGCTGATGCTACGGCAATCACTCTAGCCTGTGCAACAAAGCGAGACTCTGTCTCAAAAAAAAAAAAAGAAAAACAAAAAGAAAACTGTATATGTACATAAAATATTTTGTGTAATTTCAGGGAAATTACTAAAATCCTCCATGTATTCTATTAATAGGTGAGGAACTCTGGTCCAAGATGAGAAATCAACAAATCACATTCCATCTTTTAGTTGTAGTACTGTTTAGTTAGGTAAAACAGTTAATTGGTAAACCGTTAACAAGGATAGCTATAAATGAAAAGTTTAGAGAAGAAAACAAAGGGGGATAGTTAAGTTATTTTGAATTAGGATAGCTGTTGTGTGGCCAGAAATTTAACAGATATTTGGATTATTGGAGGTAGTTACTGATAATTTGTAGACATCAAGTTAACCACTACAATTCTTTAATTAAAAAAATTTTCATGATGGACAATACTGCGTAACTGGAAGTTTATACCATTTTTAAGCCATGTATATGTGGTCTAGATGATGCAGATGATTTACATGAAGCTGATGGCATATGAGTATAAATGATGAAATTTAAGCTCTTTGTCTCATAAGATAGCCATACTTTACACAGGCTATTCAGTTTTCACACTTGAACTTAAATTACTTATGTCTAATTTAAACTTTGATTTTAGTATTCTGCTTTTTTAAACAGTAGTGTCTTTGGAAATTCTTTTAGAATTACATTTGTCACGGGTACAGGGAAATTTAGCATTCTGTTTCATATTCATGAAAACACAAAGGATTAGTCTCTAATCAGTTTCATGATGCAAAATATGAATCCTCTCTGGATAATTGCTGACATAAGGTTGTCTCTTTTCCCACCAGCTGAAGACACATTGCTACCTTATTAAAAGCGGAAAGAAATTCATTTAAATTTATTAAAAGATGCCTCAAGTCAGTAGTTAAAATGATACTGTGTTCCACTTTTTTATAATTCTTTATTGATAAGTACTCCTTAACATGACTCAATTATTTTAAAAAGTGTAGTGTTTTTGGCTTAAAGTTTTAAGTATAAAAAGAATTACCACTAATAAAATGTTACTCTATATAAGTATTATGTCTCACTTTAAGGAGGTAGCTTTTTTCCCTTATACAAACTTACCTGAATTTATACATTTTTATAATATAGCCAGCAACAGTTAGGCATGGTCTTTGAGATAGACCTGAGGGTCTCCCACATTCTGGCTTGCCCATTCCCTGCTGTGTGACTGCAAATACTGTTTAGCATCTCTATACCTCCTTTCTCACTTGGAAATTGTATGCCAAGAATCTAGTAGAATCATTTAGAGAATTTAAATCAAATTACATATGTCAAATGCTTAGAGTACTATGCATATTTGCAGGTGTACTGTTAATGGTAGATATAATAATAAATAGCTCCATATAAATAAATGCTGTTCTTTCAAGCTATTTTAGATGTCTGTTAATTTCTTCCAATATTGCCTGAGTTGCCCAATGAAAAGAATTCTATTTAATGGTTTATCTAACACCTATTAATTAACTGACAATAAAATGGCTACTTTTAGGGTGCTTGCTTGCTATATGCCAGGCATTGTTTTATTTAATACTCAGTCTTCTAAGAAGTACATATTAAACCTACTTTACCAGGTGAGGAAACTGAAACTCAGAGAAGTTGTATAACAACTTGCCCAGGATCACACAAAGAAGTGATAGAGACTTTCTCTTAACCATTAGGGTTATGCTACCTCTGTTCATTAATCTTGCTTGTCCAATGACTGGAATGTTCACCTTTTCATGATTTTCTTATACTTGACTTATTAATCTTTGTAACTTTATCACTTTGTCATACACAAGATTGTGAATGGTTAGAAATAGCATGGCCCAGTGATGGAGTGGACAAAAGATAAGGTGGAGGTGTTGGTGGTTTAATTTTTAACAGATCAGAGTGTAATTTGGAAGGAAGGTCTTTTGATGTAGTTTTTAAAAATTCAAGCATAAAAACAGCCTTATATCTCCCACTCAGATTTTTTTAAGACAGAGTCTCACTCTGTTGCCTTGGCTAGAGTGCCATGACGTCAGCCTAGCTCACAGCAACCTCAAACTCCTGAGCTCAAGCAATCCTTCTGTCTCGGCCTCCCGAGTAGCTGGGACTACAGGCATGTGCCACCATGCCCTGTTCATTTTTTATATATTTTTAGTTGGCCAGTTAATTTCTTTCTATGAGACAGGGTCTTGCTCTTTCTCAGGCTGGTCTCAAACTCCTGAGCTCTAATGATCCTCCCACCTCGGCCTCCCAAAGTGCTAGGATTACAGGCGTGAGCCACCACTCCCGGCCTCTCACCTCAGATTTAACAAGCAATTTTAACGTATTACCATATTGGTTTCATATCTTTTTTTTTTTCAGTTAAATACAGCCTTACAGATCAAACCAAGCACACACCCACACACACCTATCACCATCATTGGTAACCTGCCGTCCAGAAGTTGATAGTGTATCAGTTCACAAATATATGTGGACAGATAACCTAATACATGTGTAGGTATGGGTTATTTCTACTCTTTCACTAGTACAAACAGTAGAGAAATTAGATTCTTATATATGTCTTTCTTCTATGTACACATGTAAGAAAAGTTCATCACACAAAAAAGTTAAAACTACAAAGGAAAGAGAATTGACAAGTCTGACTATAATCACACTTAAAGCTTCTGTTTCATAAGATAACATGAACAAAGTGAAAGCACAAACCACAGGGAGAACATTTGTAACTGTATAACCAACAAAGAACTAGTAATATCTAAATTATATACCAAATTTCTGTAAGGAATTTGTCAAGTTTTATGTATGTACATTAGATCATAGGCGCTATCACTAGCCATAAGAACTTACTGTTTGATGTATCAGTATATGAAACATATGTTAAAAATTCAGTAGTATTTTATGGATTTGTCCATTTCTCTATGTAATTATATTAATTTAGCTGTATATATTTTGAGGCAATGTTATGTGTATATATACAGGTACAAAATTGTATTTTTCTGGTGAATTATTATTTATCATTATATAATGATTTCTATTCCTATTATGCCTCTTGAGAAGAAAAATCTAACCTAACTAGAACTGCATTAGCTTTCTTTTAGTTCTTATTTGCCATGTATATCTTTTTTCAGTCTTTTACTTTAAACTTTTCTGTTTTTTTTCTTTTTCTTTCAAATGTAACACAAAGCCTGTTTGTTTCCCCTTAAGCAGAGGTGTGATTATTACAAACCTCACTTAGCTATGTTTAGATTTTTTGTATAATCTTGTTTTTCACCAGCCTAATTTAGTCAGTTTGCATTTGTGGTGATTGCTGATAAATTTGGATTTGTCCTTTATTATTTTAATACTTTCCATTTATTATGCTTTTTCTTTGCTTCCTCCTCCCCAACCCCAAGTCCTGTGTTCATTAGTATTGCTCTTGTATTCTTTATTCCCTTTTCCTCCCTTCCTCTATTGGTTTGGAAGTTACACATTCTTGTTATCCTTTAGTGTTACCCTTAATATTTTTTGACATATATACATAAAGTGTAGATTAATAGTACCAGTACTCTCTTTCCAATGCATTATTGTAAGACCTTAGACTACCTTAACGTAGATGTCTTCTCTGTCTTACGTGTTCTTATCATCTAGCATTTTAGTGCCACTTTGTTTCTACACCCCAAATTAAATGATTAGTATTACTGTTTATATAGCTAAAGCTTGTGTAGCTTTATCTATATGTTTACCATTTTCTTTGCTTATCATTGCTGCTTGTACCACTCCCACCTTCAGGGTTCTTTTTTTAATCAAGAATATATAATTTCTCTTCATTTAATCCTCAAATTTAGGAATGAAAACACTGTCATGAGAGATCTGGCAATAGACTCCATGTTGTCTCATCTCCAGGTCTCTTGTCCTTGTGTAGAGTTACTGTTCTTATTTCACTACTGGGTCTTACATAAACACAAATGAGAATTTAGTAACTAATAAAGGTAGCGTTTCAAATCAGTGAGGGAAAGTAAATTTTTTTATAACAAGTAGTTAGCTATATGGGGGGGAAACACAGCTGGACCTCTACTATTATATTTTGTGTCAAATGCTAACTCTGACCTGACGTTCTTGACCTCTCCAGGCCTCATGATTCTTAACAGAAGATGAAAATGATAATACTTACCTGACAGGATTAAATGAAAATAATACATATAAGATACTTAGCACATACAATAAATGAAATATAAGAATCATTTAATAGATGGTAGTCATGAATAAAAATTTTTCTTGCTCTTTTTCTCTTTTTAATCTACACATAAGTTTAGTATAGTGATTATATTATCCCAAATCTGTTATGTGGCTAGGACAGTCACTTATTTGGCTGGACTATAAGCTTAGGTTGGGGAGCAAAACTATAGGTGTTGAACTCATGTTGAGGTGGTAGTTCAAAGCATTATAGTTAAAGTAAAATAGAGGACTTTTTAAATAATGGACTCTGAACTTAATGATGTAAGCTCTTCGCCAAGTACTGTATGTTGAACATATAGAAAAGTGAGAGGTACCAAAATGTATCGAACAGTGCTTGAATATCTGTTCTTCCCCAGCCTTCCACAGTGTATCTAGTAAGACTTATTTCCATCTTTCTCATAATGACAAATAATGAAAATTAAATTTCTAAGCTTTTGTGACTAAAAAAGTCTTCTAGAAACTGAAAATGATGTTTCTCTTCCCATGTTATAATGTGCTTAACTTTCTTTAACTCAAGATGGATGTATCCTTTACAGTATATTTTGTATTTGTTTTTTAAGCATGTTTCATATTTGTTTAAGGTGGATAGGCATGTAGACCTGCTAGAAGTTGCCCAGGAAACTGATGGGTTTTCAGGAAGTGACCTAAAAGAGATGTGTCGAGATGCTGCCCTTCTCTGTGTCAGAGAATATGTTAATTCTACATCAGAAGAAAGGTATGTGTATTTTGACTTGATTTCTGGTATTTGTCAAAACCTTTTAGGTTCGTTTATTTTGCTTTATTACCATAGTAACCCTACTTATGCAATAAAAGTTAAATTTGAATTAGCAACCTCCCACCCACCACCACCAACAACATTTATGTATTGCCATTTTTCTAAAAGGGAGTTCTGAAAATGAATGGGGAAGATCTAGAATAAAGGAGGAAAAAGCTTACTTTCCACTGATCATCTATAGAATGGGTCACAGAAAGCTGAAAGAAACCACAGGTGGCCCATCTCTACTAGGAAAACAGTTCTCTAGCTAGATTGCGTCTACAAATTTCATTTCATGTAGAAATGAATGTCTTATCTCCTAGAAATTTCACATGTAAATGTGAGGGGTGTGGGGGTGCTGAGAACTAGACTTTAATTTGTTAAGAAGAATGTATTTACTGAATAAAGAAACCTGTAGCACATTTTACTTGAAACCAGTTTCAAAGTATGGTGAACTAGAGAAACCAGCCTTATTCCAATAAAGATACTAGTGTACCGGAATAATTCAGCCCTGGTGAACCATGTCCTTTAAGGAAGTTTCCTAAAAGGCCACTTGCCTTGAACCAGTATTATACTGCATTTCTTTTCAGAATATCAACCTTCTAATGAAGACTCCTAATAAACTAGTATACTTTTGATAGTTGTAATGAATGAGTTCTCTAACTCTTGCCCCTTTGTTTCTAGATCTCCCTCAACTCCCTGAGGTTTTCATTCCCAATGACCCTGATTTGCCTATAGTATTCATGTATTTAATTACATTGTTTTACCACAGTAAGCGTCACCAAATAGTTTTTTTTAATGGAAAGGAATACAGACAGTGCACAGTTGGCTCATGCCTATAATCCTAGCACTGTGGGAGGCCAAGGTGGAAGGATTGCTTGAGCTCAGGAGTTAAAGACTAGCCTGAGCAAGAGTGAGACCTTGTCTCTCCTATAAAAAGTAGAAAAATTAGCCTGGCATCATGGTGCACACCTGTAGTCCCAGCCACTCAGGAGGCTGAGGCAGGAGGATCACTTGAGCCCAAGAGTTGGAGGCTGCAGTGAGCTACGGTGACACCGCTGCACTCTACCCAGGGTGACAGAGTGAGACTCTGTCTCAAAAAACAAAAAAGGTATACATGAAAGCTACCTTGTCAACCAGTAGCTATATATGCATTGATTCTGGACCCATTTGTAGTGGTCCCATGGTGGAGAGGTTTACTTTATTTATGTTGCCAAATTAATCCAATTACTTTAGCAAGTTGGGAATCCTTTTTACCTCTGAAGCCAAGAACCTACCTTCCAAAGGTTTTTATTCTTATATATAAGATTAAAAGGAGAAATAACCAACCTATAAATAAACTTTGCTTTAGTAAATTATGTTAATAATGAAAGACCTATTTTTCTGCTGTCTCAAAACCCTGAAGTCTTATATTTCAGTATGAAAAATGTGGATAGACTTGGGTTATCATAACTTTTTCCCTAAGTGCCTATAAAATTATGATGGAGCCATAATACTGGACTTTGTTTTTCTTATTATTGAAATGGGAAGGATTTGGAGGTTTTTATTAATAGCAAAGAATTTTACTTTCAATTTGTAAAAAGCAAAACATGCACATGAATATACCTAGACATGCTACTTTTTAATTCCAGTTTTTGTAGGAATAATTTTTGGTTTTTTGATTGGAATTATGTTCCCATTTGGATAAACTGACACTCCTTTATATAGTATTTACACCTTATGGTAATATTCTGTACCTTAACATTGTTAGGGTGTGAAGTCTTTGATTTTAGCCAGCCCATTTTAGCTTCCTACTTCTTAACAGTCAATGGTTTTAAAAATCTCTTAGACTTATATGTGCATAGATAATTCCTGGAAGAATTTACATGGACCTGTTAATTGTGGTTGTCTTTGGGTTCTTGAATGGTGAAGAGACTTCTTTGTTACACCCTTTTGTACAGTTGAAAACAAATTTATTTTTACCTCACGCATCTTTTTTTAATCTTGGAAAAATATTTTAAAGAGGTGTATTCTAAAGTCATTTGAATATTTGATGGTTTTGTTTGTATTTTTAGCCATGATGAAGATGAAATTCGGCCTGTGCAACAGCAGGACCTGCATCGGGCAATCGAAAAGATGAAGAAATCAAAGGATGCGGCATTTCAGAATGTTTTAACACACGTTTGTTTAGATTAAGAGTAAAGATCATTTGTACAGTTCAGTGATCTAGTTTGGTGTGCCCTCTTATCAGCAGAAACAGAGTAGAAGGAGTACTCTTTAAACCATGAGGGAGTTCAATGTTTATGGTTTTATACTCTGAATTCTAAGTTATTGAGATACAGTTGTTATATAAATGGTATTACTACTTGTCATAAATCATGAGGAAGAACAATTTAATTCAGCCTGAGCGTGGGTGCTTATGTTTGACCTCTTTAGCCATATGTTGTTGCAGCCTTATAGAAACTAAGCTGGTCTCAAAGTAATAAATGATTTATTGGGTCTTTAGTGAGAAATGGGGATGTGGTTAGGTGCTGGTTCTTAGACATGTGAGTGTGTGTTTGTGTGGGTGTATTAAATGTATATATATCCACATATTTTATATTGACATTCTGTAGATATGTTTGAATACAGAAACTTTTTTTTATCCTAACTACTGAATCCAAAGTACCAAATAGTATATAGCAAAACTAAGAATTAAGGTTGTGTCAAAAAGGTACAGTGATTCAGACATTTCCAATTGTCATTTGTGTTAGCCTTTTTTGAGTGTTTCTCAGTCTGCAGTTGATTAGTTGGATCGCCCATACCTGAATATATACATGGGCTCAATTATTCTGGTTGTCAGGATAATCAAATAAAATCACTTATTCAGTGATCAGCATTGGATGGTTGTTAGGCAGTCCTGTGATCAACACTGATTTTACCACTTTCTGCAAGCACACTGAGTAGAAACATTTTTTTAAATTTTAAATTTATTTACATGAAAGGTGGATTGAAAGTCTTTCAAAAGAATAGGTTTGAAAAACCTCAGTGCCCTTCAATACATGTATGTGACTTTCTTTTCTTCATTTAATGTAACAAATAGTTCCGTTGTAACCATGGTTTTTTTAATGTTATTTTAAAGTTATATGTTCTTTAATTAGGTAAAATATAATTTGGTCACCAAAAATGAAATGATAGTTTAAAACAAGTAGCTATTACTAAATGTGCTAAAAATACTCATTTTGTAACTAATATTTTTAAGTTTTCTTAGCATATTATAAATTGTGCCCAGGTTAAGTACAAATATACACCTCAGAATTCCATATTGTATCTGTAGTCATTTGATGTGAGCTACATGTGAAATATTTTTTGTTCAAAATTCTGCTAACCAGAATTCTGTTATAGCCATCTAACCACACAGCATGATGAACATGGCACAGTACAGTCTTGAGATACCTTCTGAATCATCAGAAAGATTAAATTATGCTTCATATGTTTTTGTTTTTATTGTATTTCTTTGAAAACTCTCAATCTTTAGTCATGAGTTATTAATTTCTCTGATAATGTCTCTCACTAGAATCTATTAAAATTAGATAGTTTATTCTTCAATTGTACTTTGGTGGAGTAGAAGTTTCAATAGAACACTTTGGATAACAAAAAGTTATGAAAGATTGTGAAGATGATGGAAAAATTGAATGCAAGATACCAAAAATAAAAAATTTTATCCCATTTTTAATAACTATATTATACTATTTTTCATAAATGTGTAATGGAGGGGGTCCCTCTTTATTGATTTATCTCTACTTAATCCTTGGTCATTTTCAGTTATTTTAAATTTTCTGGGGTTTTTTGGTGTATAAAACTTATGTTTGGACTTTTTTATCTTGGTACAGCATTTTCACACTTTTATGGCATATATTGTAGTATCTAATCATTCTATTTTAATATGAATTTCAATGAGCATTTAATTTTAATCTGGTAGCATATTGATCAAAAATAAGGAGTGATATATCCCCTATGTCCTTTCTTTTTGTCTTAATTTTGAAATATCCAATAGTAGTAATTATTAAATTTGTCATGGTTTTAATCATCAAATGAGGTTAGACAGATCACTAATCCCAGCAACCTGGACTCATTCAGGTAGGCATAGTAAGGCCATAAAGTAATTGGGGATACTGTTTTTCTATGATTTTAAAAAATTGTAGTGCTGTGTAATATCTATCCTTCTGTTTTAGACATGCATTCATTTCACATATGTAGTTGGATTCTAGGTTCTAAGATACTTCATTTAGGGTAATACTTAAGTACTGGATCTAGAGTCAGGCTGCCTGAGTTTAAATCCAGGCTCCCCATCAATGAACTGTGTCTCTCCTTGGAAAAGTTACCTTATTTCTTTGAGCCTCAGTTTCTCATCTATAAAATGGTGCAACAATGACACCCACCTTAAAGGGTTGAATGAGATAATGCATGTAAGGCCCTCAGCACAGTGCCTGGCACAGAGTTACTGCTCGATGTTAGCTATCGCATTATTAATATTACTTCTACACACTGATAAATGTATCCTGTTGACCAGGCTCAGTCTTTAAGCATTCTTTATGCTTAAACCAGTTTTGTAATCCCTATGCCTTATACTCTAGGGATTGAGATAGGATCACCTGTGTGATAATTCTCTAAAAGCCTCATTTCTGGAAGACGTCTGATGTGTCTCAAGCCATCCCCAAGGCTTATTTATTTATTTTAGAGTTTAGAAACCCAATATTTGAGTCAATTCAGTATCTCCTTTCCTATTTCTCTTTCCATCTCATCCAACCCGCCACCTTCAGTAGACTCAGAACTCATGTTATTAAGAGCTAGATTGGGGTAATCTTCTATATGGACCATAAAAACCTAACATTATTAAGTAGCTGTAACCTAAAGATTTAGTGCTAGATGAGGATATCTCAAGCCTGGAGTGTTCTTGTGTAAAAATGGCAACAGCAGCATCTCAGTAAGATTTTTTTTTTTTTTTGGAGACAGAGTCTCACTTTGTTGCCCAGGCTAGAGTGAGTGCCGTGGCATCAGCCTAGCTCACAGCAATCTCAAACTCCTGGGCTCAAGCAATCCTGCCTCAGCCTCCCGAGTAGCTGGGACTACAGGCATGCACCACCATGCCTGGCGCATTTTTTCTATATATATCAGTTGGCCAATTAATTTCTTTCTATTTATAGTAGAGACGGGGTCTCGCTCTTGCTCAGGCTGGTTTCGAACTCCTGAGCTTGAGAAGTCCACCCACCTCGGCCTCCCAGAGTGCTAGGATTACAGGCATAAGCCACCACACCTGGCCCACAGTAAGAATTTTTTTACTGGAGTCGTGTTTATCAACAAACATTACAACTTTTTTCTGAATAAAGAAAATAAATTGGATGATGTAATTTTCTTTTTAGCATTTCTTAGAATATTGAATAGAATTCTGATACACGGAGCATATATACTGCATGACCAAAACACCAGCACCAACTGGATGCCTCAAATAAAGCCATAGACTAACTCCATCTAGACCTGACAAATCCTTTTAGGGCCTTCATTATTTAATTAGCTGTAGATTTAGTCATTGAAGAGTTTCCTAATCTTTCAAGAGTTAAAGCTCTCTTTACATGTATAGAAAAAATTTCTGCCCAAGTCATCATGTTTATGAATACTGTTGAGGAGAACTTGAACCTTGTAAATACGATCTCCTAACCAAATTGACTACATATGCAAATGAGATCAAACATAAACCATTTAGCCATGTGAATAAAAACAGAAGATATGCCAGTTATATTGGTGTAAACTTTATTAATATTAATGGCCCATAAGGGTCTCATTATTAAAACATTGAACTGGAGTATATTTTTGTAATTGTCTAATATTTACAGTTATAAGTCTTTCAGATATTAGCTTTGTGCTTTTATAGTGAATGTTAGTGCTCAGTGTGGAATGCATCAAGGACACAGGTTTGTGAACCATGACAACTTGGATTTAAAACTAAAACCAAAGCATTGAAATAATTACTGACATGCAAACTTGGAACTGAGACTAGAAGACAATAATGTATACAACACTGTTCTGAAGGTGCATAGTTTTCCAGAAATTCTAGGAATGACCAAGATAAATAGGGAATGGCTATATCCAGTAAAACAAAGCCATTTGTAGGCATGGGACTACAAAGAATACCAGTTAGGATTCTGTTGGAAGCAGCCAACTATAGCTAACCTAAGCAATAAAGAATTTATTTGAAGGATATGGAGAGCTCATGAGATCACAGGGAAGCTAAAGAGCCATACTTAGGATTGAAACTTAGAAAGCTCCGGAAGGTTTTCTTAACAGAAATTGCTCAATAATCTTTCTTTTGTTCCTCCCTTGACTAAATGAACTCCATCTGCTTAAATTGCCCATGTAAGATTCAAATTCCTGGAAGTGAGTGCACAAACTCAGGTCAAAAAGCACCCCCAGCAATCTTAGAGCATTAGGGGGACCCTCCAAGAACTCTTTTGGCTTAAATGGTTTGAGACAAACTGGATTTCCAACTTACCAAGACTAAGTGCAAAAGGAGATAGAGAATTTATTCAAAGGAAATTGTGGGGAAGGGTGTTGGACAAACAAAAAAAGGACAAATGGCCAAGTGGTCACATAAAGCCATAGATAATATGCTAAATGAAGGGCAATATGACAAGTGGGCATGCTGGAAGTATGAGCAACCTACATATGGAGTTTGTGTGGATGGGCCTTCAGGGACTACTTGGTCAGATGCCATAAGTTCTACTTCCATATGCCCAACTGCCTAGATGGATGACTTGAACTTGTAATTTTTAAATTTTGTTTCTCATAGTGGGTATGAAAGAACAGTAGAGACTGAAGTATATAACATTGATTTTTGTTTATTTTATTTCAAGAGAGTGCAAGCCCTTTCCTCTAATAGGGTAAAGAAATATACCAAAGAATTACATTCTGCAGTGGCATATTCTGGCCTTCCACAGTTCCATCAAACCTTTAGACCTAAGAACAGTTAGTTGACTGATCTGGTGCCTATCTAATTTACTGATTTCCTGCCTACGAGGAAAATTATGTTGAAGATGCTAGACCTAAAAGTCACATAATAGAAAAGAGGAAGGTGAGGAGAGAACTAAACATGCTGTTCTCAACCAAGATTTGTTCTTGTAAGGAAGATGGGTTGGAAAAAAAATATTGTGGCTTGATAAAGGTACCTTTGTAAAGATATATTTGTAAGGTTCACCATCATCTGACCAAATGATTTGTGCATGCCTTTCCAGGATATTTTCACAGCGCTCTGAACAGTCTGGCATTCTTCCTCAGCACCACTGACATGTTCATGTATTTACACACGTATTTCTTACCCTACTTTGTCCTACTGACTGGCACTAGGACCCACCAAGTAACATCTGGGGAGAAGGAGGGAGGGACTGCAAATGGCAGCTTTGACTTGGCTGTTACAACAGTTTTATTTGGAGTGAGGATCAGTAGCAAAAAACTGGGACTTGAGGAGAAAAACAACGCTGCAGGCCCGACGGCCGCAAGTATGGGTGGAAACAGGTATCCCTCCTTTCTGCATTAGTGAAGGTGGAGGGGTTGCTGGGGGGGGGGGGAACCCAACTGCTTCCAATGCTGCTGGTGAAACTCCTTGGGGGCACATTGAGAACAAGATCTGTAACTTTGAGAAAGGGAGCAAAGTAGTTTCATCACAAATGGGGTTTGGGGTGGAAGTCAGGTCCTCTTGCAGTGAAATTCTGGGTTGAGAATATTTCACTGGAAATATCACTTTTAGTGCTCGGCTGAAACTATGTGGCATTCACAACTAGAGCATAGTTTAGAAAAGGATATGAACAAAGGCAAACCGTCTCTTAATTATGGTCTTATAGAGAGTTGCTGCTGCTGCCTCTCTCCAATTATGCGAAGTCACAAAGCCCTCTGCAGTCACGTGGTCAACCCACATTCAGTGTTACAGGCAGAAAAGACTCATCCTTTATATTGAGAAATTTATTAAAACAAGAACAAGCATTGGTTGTACATAGAAATAATCATTTGCACTAGGTACAGAACTAGAGCAGAAGAGCAGTTTTAAATATATTTTAAAAATCACAAAATATATTTGGTTAAGGCACTATGTCCTATCTCATGTTTTCAATAAATAAGGTGTTTTTTAAAAAGGCAATAGTGAGTACCTCTGATTAAATACATATAAGTATATATATAGGTATATACCGTGAAAGACAAACTTTGCTGTGGCCATTGTATGTAATTCTCAAAAGAAATTTTATTAGCTAAGATTAGTGTGTTTTTTTTTTAAATTGAGAATATGAAAAATATCACAGTATTCTCTTTCCAGTTTAGGTCTCTTCCAAAGAAACCTATGTATAAAAGGTGCTGTTTTCTTCATATATTCATTGGCAACAATGAATTATGCATGAAGCACAAAGACTGCGTCTCAGGAAATAAAGCCATCAGAACAGCTTCAGT